AAGGAGGAGACTCCACAGAACGCAGTGGCTGACAGGATGAAGGGGAACAACGGAGCTGAGGTCTTCTCCAGGTATCTGGTGCATCAGTGACAAGGTGGCTGGGAGCACTATCCCTCCAAGGGAAGGAACAGAAGAGCAGGCAGGCTTAGGGTAGAAGAAGGTATAAACTTCAAAGTTCTTCTGAATTTAGTGTTACTGACCAAAAGTTAAGTAACTAAACTTTTCACTGTAATAAATAACTTTTTACCATAAATAACCAAGATAAGATATTTACCTGTTCTTCATTGGCTTTTAATGCTTGTATTTGGGTCTCTAGTGCTTTTATTTGTGCTTCAAGCTCTATCTCTCTTTCTTTTCCATTCTGAAAGAGTTTCTGTGATTCTTGAAGGCTGAGGGTCAGACCATCCTTTTCATCTAGAACATTAAAGATGTTTATATAAATGATATGTTACTGTAGAGGGATCCCAATGATCACAATGTCTATCAAATATCAGACCTATACCACACATAAATGTTGTTACAATCCATTCAATTCAGATCTTGAACTTCAGTTGATTTAGAAAAAACTAGAAAAGTTCCAAGAAAGAATGCCTGAGTGACACCAAAAAAATTTAGAGAACCAGAACCACACTTCCTTCAAAAATCTTATTATATCCCTTTAGGGACCAAAAGGTTTCCTAACAATGATTTCTTCATTTGTTTACTTGACAAACTCCTGCTAATCAAAAAAGGAATCTGAGGACTAATTATTTTTTATACATAGTTAAAATGAACTCTTAAATTCACCTAATCTTAAATTCTTCCCACGTACTTTACTATAATCACTCACAAGTTCTTTCCTCAAAATAAATTTTATGAGCATTACAGAAAGAGACCTTTTTTCACTATCAATTAAGTTTGAAATGAGCTGGAGTTCAATCACATTACTCTACAAATGAAAGTGCAACATTGACCAAATCTACAGAAAGCACGAAGAGTAAGCAATTACGATTTCAATTTGTATTTGCTCTGTGCTTCTCCTGGATATGGCTCCATTTTCTCTTGGCACATTGAAAGGAGTTCGGGATCATTACCTCTCCCTTGGATTAAAACATTATGCTAATTTGTAGGCTCAGGAAATGTATTGTAAATGCAAGTCTCTCTGGGAATTGTAATCCAAGGTAAACTATATAAGGAATCAACAACTTTTTAGGACAGAATGCTATCAGCATAGTTAAATAACGTGCATTGACTCTAACAGCCTAATAGAAAAGGAGGAAGGAAAGGGAGAAAAACGAAACCTCAAAATAGTATGCTCTGGAGAGAAGTAATCCAAGGAAAGCTGTCAAAAGTCCTGGGTTTTGTTTCCTTCTGCCTGACTCAGTATGAGCCCTCTGACCAACAGCATCAACTCTCTAAGCCTCATGTTTAATATGGAAACAAGATATCTAGCTCTAGCATACCTCGTAAGTACAGCTGTTATCTTACCTTTTATTATCAGAAGCTGGTGATTCAGGTATCTGATTTGACGCTCACTTTCATTTAACTTCTCAACTAAATTGTCTAGTTGTCTTTCTTTTGCTTTGTTAAGAACCTGAAGTTGAATAATCTGCATATTTTCTGCAGAATCTAATTTGGAATGAAAAACAATTTATTAGATAAAAGCATACCAATATAAATTTGGGTTCGTTAGGGCAGTACTATTCAAACTGTGGATATAACTCATTAGAGTATGATAAAAAAAAAATTCAGTGGATTATGACTAGCATTTCTTTAAAAAAAGAAGGACCGGCCGAGTGGTTCAGTTGGTTAAGAGCTCGCTCAAGAGTGTGAGCTCTGAGCAATAGCGGTTTGATTCCTGGCCCAAGCTGAGCTGCCAACAGGTGGCAGGATGGCTCGGCTAAAAAAAAAAAGAAAAAAAAAGAGAGAGAATATAATAGAATATATCAGAGTACATCATGTAGTACAAATAAGTATTATTTTGAAACTTCTGTTTCAATTATACATACTTATTCATATAGATAAATATTGTAGACCACATCACAAAGTAAAATATGTACTTCTTTACTGTGGTCATGGCCAGAAAAGTTTGAAAAGCCATCAGTTTAGTGTATAACACTGAATAACTGTCATTTTGGCTAATTAAAAATAAATATATAGCAATGTGAACAAGAAAGGAGTTTATAATAAACACGATAGGCTTGGGAGGAGGAGGAGCACATGGCAGGCCTAACAAGCTCAGTAAACAAAAGTAACCACACAGGGTTGTCTGATCACAGATTCCTAACTGGGCAGGTCATAGCAGGTAGTCACATCCCAAACCTATAGCTTCCTTAGCAAAGGTCAGTCTTGACCTTAAATGAGCTCTGTCCATTGTTCATATGCATCTAGGACAACAAACTTTGAAATGTCAGAGTAATTTTCTTTTCCTACCCCTGGAAACCACAACTGGAGGCCCCAGAGCATTTCCCACATACCGTCTCTATGTGCTGTAAATGTTAATTAGCAATTATCCTGTACCCAATAATGTAAAAGTATGTGTTTCTCCATTTCGCCTTTCATCCAATCACAGAGATCCTCCCACCACTTCGCTTTTTTCCCACCTCTTTAATCTACCACCCATGGATTACATGCACCTTCCTTACATCTTCTTCGATTCTAATATATAAAACAAGTTACAAAAATGCCATTCTCCAGAGTATTTGAAATCTTGCTCCCCAGAATACATTGTCAGTTTGGTTCAAATAAACTCATAAAAATTCTCTATAGGTTTTGATGTTTCTTACATCAACACCAATTACAATGGAATAGAATTTTATGCTCTCATAAAAATGAAAAATAAGCTCATCATTTCCATGAAACCATTTTTAAAGAAAATCTCTAGATATCTTTCTCAAAATATTTTAAGTGGGAGTGAGAATTATATTGTATTCATATTTATGCTGGCACATAACTGAATAGATTAGTATAGAATTTTGAGGTCTTCTTTCATAAAAAACTAGTCGTTTTACGGACCACTTAAAAATGATTGATGGAAAAAAATGATTCATAGGAGAAGGATAATGCTTCAACTACACAATCACAAATATTCTTCATTTTCTGCTAGAATGCTCCTACTTGCTAGCAAACAAAGCAGTCCTATTTTTAAATAGAGATATAGTTAAAACACACACAAAAAAGCAAAAGACTGAGAACTTTGTTATAAGTCAAACTCCTCACCAGCCTTAGAACAGGGTGAGCCCAGGAATAAAACACAAGGCACACTTCTCCTCAAAGTCATTTTTTGAAACTACTGTTGCTAAGCAGCTGTAATCACTAAATTAAGCACTATCATTATTTTAATTAACTTTCAAAGGTTAAATTTAGGCAAATGTGCAATAAACAAAAATAAATCAACTTGATAAAATGCAGATTGCTAAGAAAGTGGTAAGACGTTATATATACGCAGAAGACCAGGAGGTACAAATGCCACTGAACAGGAGAACTGAAGAGTAAACACAAGACTGCAGGCCCCAGTTGTGATTCTTATTTAAGGGACCTAAACCCAACTCTGCCACACACACTGAACACTTCCTCATCTCTTCATTCCACAAAAGCTTAGAAACAAAGAAAGGCCACCCCCACATTTGCTTTGACTCCTTCCAGGGCAAGTGAGTTCTGTGGTGCCAGAGTGTATGATGAAAGCGATGCCACGAAGTTAGAGTACAAGTCCCTTTTTCTCTTTGGCATAGCCCAGGAAAACTCAGAATATCCAATATGACTTTCCCTACAGCTTCTTAAATGTAAAACAAACAACACACTCGCTGGCGCATGCTAGAATCATACTGGTTCCTCAACATGCACAATAATTAGAAGTTATTTCACATGCCAGAGAGTGTGACAATAAAAGTTGGATGTATGAAAACACTAATTCAGGTTAGTCACAGTACAAGTTTTGATTTCTGGTTTGGGGGGTTTCATCTCCTCAAAATTCCCTAGTAGCACTTTTCTCATTCTCATATTTATGCATATACACCCAAAAAACATTTTTTACTAAACCTGAGATATGTCTACTTTAAATTCTGAATCTAATGTAATTTATATCAGAGCTGCCTATTACATTAAAACTCTAAAAATCAAAAAAAAAAATTAAGAGGATAACAGCTGATTTACTAAATTACATTTCTACATAATGAAAAATCTAAGATGGAAGGGAAAACTACATTTCATTTTCCAAATTAGACTTCATTAAGAAAAATATGAAACTAATGAGAAGTCTTAACCAATTACAATGACTGAGATATACAGTTGAGAAAAACCTATTTTAGTTTTTATTATGGAAAATTCCAAATATATAAGGTAGAGAAAAGAACACAATGAATCCCATGAACCCATCACTCAAACAATTATGAACTCACAACCAGTCTTGCTTTTTCTACAGCCCCACTCAACATTACCCATAACAACATATTCTTTGAAGTAAATCCTAAACTTCAGATCAGTGTATTCATAAATACTTCAGATGTATCTCTAACAATAAGGGTTCTTTTTAAAAGAACCAAACACAATTCCATTTCATTCTTTAAAAAAATAATAATCCTTGAACATGCTTACAGTGTTTCAAATTCTCAATTACGTTATTAAGAAATAAACATAAAAGGGATACATACTTTCATTAGCTCCTAAAAATTGTTGTTGTAGGCCTTCAAATGTGTCACTTCCTGCTATCTCCTGGGTTGGTGAGCCATTATTCTGAGCAGAAGACTGATAAGGTTTATATGTCACTGTATATGGTTCCAACACTTGACAACTGGGACCTTGCAATGTACCAAGTTGCTATTATAAGATGATAAATGAAACTGACAATTAGGATTTGACCTTTTCTTCAAAAAATTATCTGAATTAGATACTTTAATTTTGTTACGGAACTTAACTGTGGTACAATTACAAATTTTATACATACATTTTTGCTTAAAAATAACTTACTGTTATTCAGCACTGTTAACTGAAAGTGCAATATATAATTTCACACATCTTAATTGTACTTTTGAACATATAATGAGCCAATTCCATAAATAACACTCAGGAATTCAAAAAAGACTATATATAAATACATAAGAATGATTCAGATGATGCCAACATCTTGGGAACAGAAAATACACATCTTCAATAAGAAGAACATGTGATACAATGCTTCATATGTAATAAATATTCAATAACTTTTGTGGAATGAATAGTATTCCATAGAGGCATTAGAGAAAATGAGCACCTAAAAAGGAAAAAAAAAATCATCCTGTCATTGGGTGACACAGAATAGCTATTGGCAAAATGAGGCATTCATTGTCATTGAGAAAGTCTAAGAAACAGCTGGTTGTAACCTAAGGTCTTACTTCATTAAACTCTGCCGGGGTAAAATTTTTTTAAAAATTGTTTTTTCCTTAACATTCATCATGTCTACGGCTATCTCATCACAAAACAGACAGCAGCTTTGAAGTGTTTGACCTAAAATTTGTTATAAGGGTAGTGAGCTAGAAAATCAAGGTAATTGCATGGTATCATCTACATAGATTTACCGCTTTAAAACTATATCAAGATACCTGAACACTGCTTCTCACTGAAGCATAGTGAAGTGGTAGAAGCCAGCAGCAGCAGTAAATGAGGAGGGTTCTTCTTTGACAGACTTAACTTTTAATGTTTAATTAACTGTCTCCATAAAGCCTATATTTTAAAATTCTGACTTAAATTGAAAACAGAAAACAACATGACTAATTCAGCATGAGCCTGAATAAATGCACTCTCAGAAGTTTTTGTACTTAAAATAAATCTTATCACACTTACATACATTTCTTTAAATACACACATATAAGCAAATGCGTGAGCACATATACACAAAATTTTGAAAGTCAAGTTCTTACAATACCTGAAAATGATTCCTTTGAGGATCTGAAAATGTAATTACATTGGTTGGTTGGCTATTAAATTCCTGCTTCTGACCATTGGTATATGGCCTAAAGTTTTCAGGAAGGTGATACAAATCTGTCTGCTCATATTTACTTGGAGGACTATAACCACTTCCACCTTCATCTCCACTTTCTTCGGGATGGTACCCAGGATGTTGGTGTTTAGTCTTACTTTGATTCTCTTCCCAGCCACTGTCAATTTTCTCGCCAATATATACATCCCGAATCTCATAGTCCTATTAGATAACAAGAGTGAGATAAAAACACAAAGATCTAGTCCCACCCTCATCAAAGTCATTTTCACACCAGATACTTACATTTACACTTTTAGATTTAGGCAGCACTTGATGCTCTTTCCAGTTCATCTCCGATTTCTCAGAATGATGAGGTCTTGAGAAAAATCAATACTTTATTTAGTTTTAGGGCCTATCATTTATTTGGACTTAAATATCACAAAGCACCCCAAGATTTTAACATGTTTTCCCTCCAACTTTCACCTTTAAGAATTAGCCCACAATTTTATAATCATATGCATTATTTTCACCTGCAGAGAATCAAAAGCAAGAGGCTTATAGAATTGTAATAACGCAAGTGAAAGTGATTTCAAGTCCTTACTCTCCCTCTGTGCCATCCTCACTGCAGTCCGAATAGTGGAGCTCGGGGGAGGACAGATCATCATCCAGCATATCATGAGGAAGGTCTGTGAGTAACTGCTGCAGCTGAAACAGGAAAGTCAGCCTCAATATCACATTGACTTCTACGCAAGATGCCAAACCAAAGCTGCCTTGGAACAAGTGATTTTGACTGTAGAAGTTGAAAAAGTTCCTAATTTCTATATTTAATAAATGTCTTAAATTTCACACAAATTATGTTCATCATTTCACTTGGAAATAGGGGAAATAGATAATTCATGATTTATATTAGAAGGCTTTACTTTTTTCTACAGAGATCTTAGATTTAAATACACATACAATAGAATTTGAAAACTTCTGTATGGAAACACAGAAAGTCATAATAATGGTACAATCACTGTATTATGTTATCACAGGGCGGACCCGTGTCCCAGAATCTTGTTCTACCAGTAACCAGACCTTGGGAACGTGACAATCAGACTCCCCCCAGGGAATCTGAATAGCCAGATGCACCTTGCCCAGGTGGGGAGAACAGCAGAAGCAGCAGCAGGTGGCCTAGAAGCCCTTGAAAGCTCTAATAATGTGACAGAAAGCTGTTGGGGAGTGACTCATTAGTACAACCATCTAATTTCAATGATGAAAAGATATCCAATACTCGGCTCTTATAAAATAGTTGAGTAAAAAGAGAGCTCTAAGCTTCAGTTTTCTACAGAGAGCATTCTCAAAAGCAAAACTCTAAAACTGACATAAAAGCATTTGACTTCACTCCAATTTTTTTCTAGAAAACTCACATCTTGAGCATTCTGCTTATAAAAACTAGACATAATAAATTCATTCAGGTTTCAAGACAAACGATAAAAAGATGAATGAATTGTCTAATTTGTTGAATTTCAATATCTATCTGCAAATGTCTTTCTTCAAATCTCAATATAATATCAAATCCCAATATAACAATTAGAAGATTCAAATATTATGTTACTAAATAGTAGGAAGACTGTTTATAATGACTTTTCTTTCAAATTCAGCATCAGTTAAATTAACAAGCTGATGGAGTCCCTCCACAGTACGTAAGTCAATTCCATAAAATTATGCAGTGAATGAATTTTAAAGATATTAAATACTCTGTGTAAAAACCGTGGAGGAAGAAAATTAGGTACTCCTTAGTCTATGACAGATTTTTCCCCACCTTGTCATTGTAATAAAAGAAATGAAGTGTAGCACTGAGCATTACATAATCAAAAACTTTCATAAACAAAATACATATGGTAAAAGCTAAATAAAAAATAGTCTAAGAAAGGTCTGAAAGGTGTGTTCCAATTGCTAACTTAGTGTTTTGGTGAAGTCAAATTTGGGAGTGGAAACGGGGTACGTGAGGTGGGGAGGGGGGATAATACTTCCTCACTTCCATATATATTTCTAACATTCACCAGATCATTTTTTTAAAAAAGGTTTTTCTCAAGCCATTTTGTTCTTTACAAATGAAACAAGAGAAAAATATTCTATCCAATGAAAAGTTATCTTCGTCTCAAAATTTATTTGATACTAATATTGACAATTCATATCTTGATTTATTGGCCACCTGCTCATGCAGAGTAGATTGAAAAATCATTTTGAGAGTTAGCCATATCATAGTTGACACAAAGATATAAAGAATAAGAAATATAAAAGAAACAACACTAAAAACAAAACAGAGCATATCAACATATTAGTATATTACATGAGGGTCTCAAGTAAAAGGTAACAAAGTAATTTTACAAAGACAAAATTCACTAAGGAAAAAACATCTATGAGGTCTTTTAAAATAGTCCAACCTATTTTGTCTAAGATTATGCATCACTGCTTTAAGTAAAAAGACTACTTACTCCCACACATTACACAGGAAAAAATATAACAAAATAAATATTTTATACTTACATCAAGTAAGGACTCCTGTATGGAAAGAATATTTTCTTCTAAATCTTCAGTGAGGTTCAAGTACATAGCCTTATAATTCAGGGGAACCATGACAGGGACATCTGAACCATACATTTTTCCCCCTCACAAAGACAGAAAAAGCTACACACTAATTAAGTAGTTTTTGTAGATTTCTTTGTGACACCACAAAGGTGCAATAGAAAAATCACTAACAAAATTGGCATCTGTGGAGGAAAATTGATTTGAGCATAAACAATAAGTCCGTCTGAATGTTTCTAGATCCATAAGTAAACTTATCAACCAGCAAAATCATCCCTATAGTATTTAGTGCCTTATAAAATAATGTGTGTGTGTGCCAGAAAAATGTATACACATTTTAAGAAAGGAGAAAAATTGTATTAATTATAATACTCAATATATATTGATAACTAAAGATGAATACAAGTCATGTTTGACCTCTGCAATTACAAGAGGTGCTCAAAGTGGTTACCATCAGCATATTTTAATAGTTTTTTCCTTTCTTAAAATTTTTTGGCACCCTCTGTATACACACACACACTAACATTTTTAAATAGTTTCAAACACCTTCAAAAGCTTTCTCCATCAAGTTCTTTGGCATAGCTGACCCATATTTTTTGACTTCCATAACTTTCAGAGAAGAGAGAGCTAAATCAGTTAGTTCTCCTAATAAGGCATCAGGAACAAAATCCCACCCCCCAAGTCTTCCATTTCCCAAGATCAAATTGTGCCCTCTTCTTTACCAGATGGCCCCAGGCTGGTCATAGGCAGTGCCTGACCTTGGTACGCACCAGAGCCCCTTTCAAGAAGTCCCAGAACCAACACACCTGGTGACCGGCTCTAGACCACACCAGAGTACCAACCAATTAGCACCACAAACGACATACCCAAAAGGTGAACCTGGCAGGCACCAAAGCCCTACTAAAGCAGTTCTTGCTCTAGGGGGTCAGCTCTCACATAACAGCTTGTCCACTATAGTCACCCACAGGTCGTCAGAGTCAATCAGCCTGAAGGTCAATCCCACCTACTGACATGCAAACAGCAAACAAAGCTTAACTACAATAGGAGGACACACACAGCCCACACAAGGGACACCCCTGGAGCACCCGGCTCAGGTGACTAGGGAGATTGCACCACTGGGCTGCACAGGACACCTACTACATAAGGTCACTATGCCAAGACCAGGAGATGTAACAGATATACCTAATACATAGAAACAAACACAGAGAGGCAGCCAAAATGAAGAGACAAAGAAACATGTCCCAAATGAAAGAACAAGACAAAACTCCAGAAAAAGGCCTAAATAAAATGGTTGCAAATAATCTACCAGATGCAGAGTTTAAAACACTGGTTATAAGGATGCTCAATGAACTTAAGGGAAGAATAGATGATCTCAGTGAGAACTTCAACAAAGAGATAGGAAACACAAAAAAGGAGATATAAAACACAAAAAAGAACCAGTCAGAAATGAAGAATGCAGTAACTGAAATGAAGAATACACTAGATAGAATCAACAGTAGATCAGATGAAGCAGAGGATGAAATCAGTGATTTGGAAGACAAGGTAGCAGAAAACACCCCATCAGAACAGCAATAAGAAAAAAGAATTTTAAAAAATGAGAAGAGTTTAAGGGGCCTCTGGGACAATATCAAGCATACCAACGTTCACATCATAGGGGTACCAGAAGCAGAAGAGAGTGAGTTAGGGACTGAAAACCTATTTGAAGAAATAATGATTTAAAAACTTCCCTAACCTGGTGAAGGAAATAGACATACAAACCCAGGAAGCACAGAGAGTCCCAAACAAGATGAACCGAGAGGCCCACACCAAGGCACATCATGAGTAAAACGCCAAAGGTTAAAGACAAAGAGATAATCTTAAAAGCAGCAAAAGAAAAGCAGTTAGTTACCTACAAAGGGAGCTTTCATAGGAATGTCAGCTGATTTCTCAACAGAAAGTTTGCAGGCTAGAAGGGACTGGCACATAATAATCCAAGTGATGAAAAGCAAGGACCTACTACCAAGATTGCTCTACCCAGCAAGGCTATCATTTAGAATCAATGGAGAGATAAAGAGCTTCCCAGACAAGAAAAACCTGAAGGAGTTCATCACCACCAAACCAGTATTACAAGAAATGTTAAAGGGACTTCTTTAAGAAGGGGAAGAAAAAAATCAAAAATATGAATAAGAAAGTATCGCCAAGAAAAAAATTTTTCACTGACAAAGGCAAACACCTAATAAAAGCAGTGGATCAACCAACTCTAAAGCTAGTGCAAAGGTGTTAAAAGGCAAAGGTAGGAAGGTCATGTGTAATTAAAACAGTAAATTAAGGGATACACACAGACACAGACACACACACACACACACACACACAGGAAATAAATAATAACAAAAACATAAACATAGAGGTGAGTAAAAATGGTAAGCGATTTTAGAATGTGTTCTAACTTAAGCAACAATCAACTAAAAATAAACTGTTGTAAACATAGCTTGGTATGTATGAAGCACATGGTAACCACAAACCAAAAATCTACAAGAGATATACAAGAAATAAAGAGAAAGAAATCCAAACTACAGAAAGTCATCAACACATAAGAGAATAAGAGAGAAACAGAGAACTACAAAAACAATAAAATGGCAATAACTACATATCTATCAATAATTGCTTTAAATGTAATGGATTAAATACTCCAGTCAAAAGACAAAAGGATAAAGATGTGGTGCATATATACAATGGAATATTATTTGGCCATAAAAAAGAATGAAATCTTACCATATGGGACAACACGGATGGACCTAGAGGGTATTACACTAAATGAAATAAGTCAGATAAAGACAAATACCATATGATTTCACTTATATGTGAAATCTAAATAACAAAATAAACGAACAAAACAGAAACAAACTCAGAGATACAGAGAACAAACTGATGGTTGACAGATGGGAGGGGGACAGGGGCTGGGTGAAAAGATGAAGGGATTAACAAGTACTGGGGGCAGCCAGTTAGATCAGTTGGTGAGAGCCCAGTGCTCATAACACCAAAATTGCCAGTTTGATCCCCACATGGGCCACTGAGCTGCGCCCTCCACAACTAGATTGAAACAACTACTTGACTTGGAGCTGATGGGTCCTGGAAAAACACACTGTTCCCCAATT